GTTTTTGTTGGGGGGAATAGATAGCTAGCTTGGCATGGAGAGGGAAACAAAGAAGAGGAAGATGGAGCATGTTGAAGAAGAAGAAAAGGGAAAGGAAGATGATGATGATGATGAGGAAGAGGAAGAGAAGATCGAGAAGTTCTTTGCTTTGCTGAGAAGTACAAAACAAATGCATGATCAAATAAGAAGAAAATCAAATAGAATATTTAAAGAGAAAGAGGAGATCAGGAAAGTTGGAGAAGAGAAGGTTAGCGTGGCTTGGCATCCATCATTTCTGCCAGAAGATTTCTTGGAGGATGGCAAGGATAGTCAGGCAGCAGCCGGTCCTTCCAAGAGAAAGGAAGCAGAGAAAAAGGACGATGGAGAAGAAGGCACTGGCTTGGACCTAAAGCTTTCTTTGTAGAGGGTCGTAGTTGGCCTCCTCCGTCATCCCCCACCCCCACCACTCCCGTTTCTCTTCTTGCATGTTGAGAAGCTCTTACAATGAAAGCGAGGATCAATACAACATGTAAACTGTAATACTGGTCAGCATTTCCATGTGATCGATGTGCTGAATTTATCGAAAACATATTTTGTATCCTCTCTCTCTGCTTGTTTGGATCTATGAGGTAAATAAGATTTTCTTCTCAAGGTTGATGTTCTTACACAAGTGATGGGATGCCTCACTGGTTGAAGTGGAGACACCAGGTCATCTTGATCGACGAACTCATCTTGTGTATTTGAATTAGGTTTGAGACAGTTCAGAAGAATATACTTTTTTTTTCCTCCAACAACAACAACAAAGCCTAGTTTCGGACATAGTTATGACCCGGTCAATTTCTAACAAAAATAAATAAATTAATATTAATAAAAAAACTAAAACATGTAAGTGTTTTACTATATAAACATTGTTTATTCTCTTACACTTCATTATTCATAGCATTGTTCATTTACCACATTTTCGTTCTATGTCTCTCGAATTTTAGATTCTTTTTTATTTGGTAATATTCTAGCTTTATTCTCTTTCAATTTGGTCGTTAAAAATTATGTTGTCACCATCCTATTTTTTCTCATTGTCTTTAGATTGCATGCTATCATGTGTTGAAGGAGTCAAAGATTATTTCAGAGTTAAATGACATGACAAGTTTAATTACATTAACAAAAAAAAAAATAGTTATAATAATAAAATTAAACGAACAGCAACTAAAATTATCGTTGGCAACAAGCAACACCTATTTCCCGCATTCACTGTTCAATAGGTGCGGAGTGCTGTATTTTCATCTCTTAATTTTTAATTTATTTATATTTAGGTGTTTTTAGTTTTAGATTTTTTATTTTGATTCTAAATTTTATTCTTACATTTTAATCCCTCAATCTTTCAAAAAAAAAAAAAACAGAACAAAAAACCACTGAAAAATCTGATGAGAGAAAAAGCTTTGAAGTGGCTGGATTCTCTCCGGCCAATAACTTTAATTTTTATGTTTATGATTATGTTTTAAAAAAAAATCAATAAAGATGGTTTTCACTTTTAATGACATGCGAAAAAAAATTGAAGGTTTAAAAGTTTTTGTTTATTTAACTTTGATTTTTTAAATTAATTAAAATATATTTTGTTGTAAGAAATTAAGTCTTAAAAGTTTATAAGAGTTATTTTTCATGTTTTTAATTAAAAAAATAGTTTTAATTTGATTTTTAGATAAAAAAACTTAAGACTTTGATTTTTTAATAATCAAAGCCTCTAGTGGTGACCCTAAAAGATTATAGTTCATTTTGTAACGAGGTTGCCTCTGTATTTTATTTAAAATATAGATACAATCTGTTTAATAAAAAAAATAAAATTATTATTTATAAATCTCATGATATTTTTGCATTTGAAATGCAGGGGAAGAAAAGTAATTAATTGTTATTATAAACAATGCAATTAATATGAATATTATAGCATACTACACTATTCATAAAACAATGTAGCCAGCTCCATTGTTCCAATTGAACTAGTTCCGGCCGAATCGGGTCTAGTTCAAAGCTCAGCATACATTGAACCGGGTTCGATCTAGTAAAATAAAAAATAAAAATTATTTTTTATTTTTTAATTATGTTTTATTTGAAACTAGTGTTTTATATTATTCAATGACACTACATAAATTAAACAGAAATCACTTGATAATGTAGCATTTACAAAATTTGATCGTAATTTCAATTTTGTTCATGATTATATTTTACTTCATGTTATTGTGCGCTTAAGAAACCAAAAATAACTATAGTCCTTATCAGATGTATTTCATACGTGATGAAATTGTAGATAATTTAATGGAACAAAGAAAAATATTTTATATAAAGTATTATTTATTTCATGATGTAATAACAATAGTTAAATTTACAATATTTAAATTAAAAACCATCAATATTAATATATAACCATCAATATTAATATATATTTTTTAAAATTATTTTATAACTTTAATTTTAAAAGCATATACTTAATCAAATATATCAAATTACTTTTTATTTAACCTCAATTCCAATCATAATTTTAACCAAATATACATAAATATTAAATTAACTTTCCGTGAGGAAAAACTTGGGCACGCGAACCTAGGCACACCTAGGTTTTCTAGGTGGGCTTGTGCTTTCAGACATGCTTGCTTAGACATTAATAATTAATAAAATGGTGTATAAATAATTATTCATTTATATTTTCAAATAATTTATGATAATATTAATAATTATTTTTTGAATAATTATATATTAACTTTTCATATTCAATATAGATGAAATATCTATTTTATATATTTTTTTATTAAATTTTTTATTTTAATATATTTTTGTTAAAATGATCAATTCATTTCTTTTTTCTTACCAACACTTTCTTTTAAGATTATTATAAGTTTTTATTTAAAAAAAATATTATTGATAAAAGAAGAAGAAGAAGAATTCATTAATAAGGGAAATGAGCTTTTATTAAAGAGATATCTTTTTTTATTCTTATTTTATATTATTGCCTTCTTATTTATTTATTTTTATTACTTTTAGTTTTTATGCAATAAATAACATAGCTAAAAGAGGTGCAGTTTTTTGTTAAAAAATAAAGTATTAAAAAAAGAGAATTTATACTAAGAAAATGCATTTTTTTTCTTATAGAATTTAAATTATAAGTTTTTATAAAATCTATTTTTATTGTTATAAAATTAAATAAAAAAATTTAAAAAGCACCCAGCAACTCGAGATCAAATATTTCACACATTTTAATTTTTCAATTTTTAATCTTAATGTTTAGTTAGCAATAACATCTCTTTTTAAGATTTATTAATTGATATAATTTTTAATATATTTTATTAAATACGGTCACAATGCTCTTTTATTTTTATTTGTATTATTATTATTATAAATTGACTGACTTGGAATTCTACTCGAACTTTGGCTAGTTGGCTATTAAAAATATACTAAAATAAGGGATTTGAACCCTTTACCGCTTTTCTTTTCACACACGCCATTACTAATTGACCATGAATAAACTTGCGATTTAATATTAAAAATAATATATTTGTTCATGTTAAATATTTTTCTATAATTAAATCAACCCACTAACTCCTTGATTTCACAACTGGTGACCAGAGAACGTGGCTGAATTAGGGCCGTTCTGCCAAATTTGTGTTAACATGGCACAACTATTGACTGGACTCAATGGTAGGCTGTAACTCTTTGGGCAGCATCATTGGAAATTTGGAAGAACGTTGTGGAAGGCAAATGGGTGTCCAGGCTTTACAGCTTGTCAAACCTTTCAAAATAAATTTATTCCAGGCAAAGTAAAAACTTTTCTTTACTGATCAACTCCGAGGAGGCTTTTACCTTGCCAAGCTGCACAGTTGCCTCTAATAATTTATGCCATTTGCTTAAAGCAACCTTTTCTATTTTTTATTTTTGACGGGGCAGCCTTGCATTCACCTCTAATAATTGATGCCATTTGCCTAAAGCAACTTTTTTATTATTATTTTTTTGTGTGTTGGGGCAGCCAGGATGATGCTCAATGTTTCGTAGATACTTGTCTCATCACAAGATTATCTGCTTAAAAAATCATGATTCTCATTCATTAGCATTTCCGAAGATAAAATCTTTTGAGGATCGAAGTACTTGGCCACTAACGGGTACAGTTTCAGATATCATGGAGCTCAACAGAAACAACAACGACAGTTATCAAAGGTGACAGAAAATTTTACAGGAAAAAGATTCTTGACTGATGCAATCCTATGACGTATATGATCAACCACTAGTTAATAGCAACTTTGGAAGAAAGCATCCTAGTTGATTCACTTCCGTCACCTTCACTGGACCAAATTGAAAGGCATCGCAACCTCCAGCAGGTCTATGTCCCCACTAGAATGACATATTTTCTGTGATTTTGTACCTGGGCTGTATAAATATACAACTACAGTCACCCTGCAGTAGCGCAGTGAGAAGGCAGGAGCTGATCAACCACTAATATATAGCGTGTCATTAAAGTTAAGTGAAACAGCACTAACAAAGCAAATGGAGGAAGAAAGAAAAAACAAGCTGAGTACCTTTTCTGAAGAAGAAGAAAACGATGATGAGGACGAGAGAATTGAGAAGTTCTTCGCAATAATAAGAAGGCTTAGAGATGCTCGCATGTATTCGAGAACCTGTTTGCGAGAACAGGAGGCATGTAAGATAGCAAAGAAGGCAAAGAAAGCCCACGCACCTGTATGGACTCCAAAGTTTCAACTAGAAGATTTTGAGGAGCCAGGGTTGGAATCCACTCCCATATCTCAACCAAGTTCCTCAAAAAAGGAATGTGGAAAGGAGAAGAAAGAAGAATTAGATCTGAACCTTACCTTGTATTGACTGTGGAGGTCAAACACAGTGCATGGGATATGATATGCTTCAGAGTAGTATTTTCAAGATGCATGAAACATGTGATGCAGCAGAGTTAGAGCAGTCGTGTGTGTTGAATAAAAGGTTGCATGTATGTTCAGTTGGGTCGGCTTTAATTTTGCTTCTTTTTTTTCTTGTAATATTGTTGTTTTTACATTGATGAATCTTTCATTTTCGAGGTCATCTAGTTATTAAAAGATGGATTAGGGTTTATTTCCACTTTATAGCCATCATCTCAGATAACACTACTGATAAACAATCAAGCATCCAAGCATTGACATATTCTGTGAAATTATGTTCGCGTGCAATGCATTTCTATTATTCTGGCTCAAGTGCAAAAGTCACTTAATTATGCTATTGCAGCAAAAACCACTTCAAAGTTACAAAAAAGACATACAAAACTCACACCAGATATATGAACTCTTAATTCCCTATAAAAGTCAATCAACAATAGTTTGTATCCCAAGCACCTGAGATAAATTTTACTCCTGGATCTAGAGACAAAGTGTGTTTATTACCTGCAGAGGTGTCTGGAGATGTTGGTACATGGGATAGTGGACATGTGAAGTACTTGAAGCTCGTCACTTGAATTGGTTGGAATAATAAACATTTTATATAAAAAAAATACTTAAACCAAGTAAAACATGACACCTTTCTTAGTTAGAATGTTAATGTAAGAATTTAGCATGCTACAAAAGCTGGAAGTTTCTCCCTCAACAAGCCATACTCCAGAACTAACTGTAGAGCATCTGCTTTTCAATCCTTTGCGGTTGCTTGTCCGCACTCTATTTCTTGCAAACTTCCATTGATAAATTATTGATTTAGCTGATTGGAGGACAGTGCTTTATGTACTGAATACTGCAAATGTGAGGAAATAGGCACAGGCATTCCATCGTTCCTCCACTAGCACAAAGCCTGGGGACGTGGAGATTTGCTCTAAGCTTTGAAGGATGCAACAATGCATCAACATCCGTGACTTTGATAATTAAAGTGTAAAGCTTCTGAAATTGTTTTTCCTTCAATTTTTTCTGCTCTTCTGGAGAAAATGGTATGTATGACTACGTCTTTGGACTTCATTATGGCTTTTATGAGCTCCGGTCAGGATGTTGCTGGTTTATTCATCAGCATTCATATGAAATATAGTTGACATTAGCATCTGAATTCAGGATTGCACCATACCACATCTTTTGGCACCAAAATCTATGGACGAGCCTAAGAAATGTTGCCATCTTGATCTTGGCATCAAAAGCCACAGCCAAAGCTGCATCCGTCCAGTAATTACGTGCTTGTAATTACCATTAGTCACTGCAAGAACACAAGCCATCCTTAAAGAGATGGAATCTATTAGTATCCCTCAAAATTATTTGTCTCCCAGTTACTTGAGCTATTAATTTAATTGTTGAATGGCAATCCCCACAGACTCGAAGATTTTTCATCACTCGAATAGGCATTCCTTCTGGCACTTTCAGAAGTCCATATGCAACAGCCAATTTCTCACTGTGATCCCGTAAGCTGTGCACCTTCTCTTCTTCATCAACATCATGCATCACAAAGCTACCATCAGGACAATATCCAGCTTCCCTTAACAAAGCACCTAATTTTCCCAACTTTTTCAATATCATTTCATGCTCAGGATGGCTTGTGCTATCTCCCCCACTGAATATTTGCACTTTCTTGTCCACTTCAATCCAACTACAACCAGGCGATTTTCTCAAATTCCTCGCCCTCATTGTTTTTCTCAATTCTATAACATCTTTCCACCTAGTTTGGGACGCATAAAGGTTTGATAGAAGGATGTAAGGCCCAGCATTGTTAGGTTCAAGCTGTAGAAGTTTCTTTGCTGCAATTTCTGCCAAATCCAAATTCTTATGGGTTCTGCATGCACCTAATAAAGCACCCCAAACAATAGCATCTGCTTCCACAGGCATATTTTCAATCAAATTCATTGCCTCATTTAGCTTCCCTGCTCGGCCAAGTAGATCAACCATGCAAGCATAATGTTCAGTTTTTTGATCCACTTGATATTTAGATTTCATTGACTCAAAAATTTCAAGCCCTTCTTTAACCTCCCCAGTGTAACTACATGCTGACAGAACTCCAATAAAGGTAATTTCATCCGGTGCAATGCTTGAAGAGAACATGTCATGGAAAACTTCTAAAGCTTTCTCTCCAAAACCATGCTGCGCATAACCAGAATTAATGGAATTCCACATGACAATATCCTTTGAAGAGAACCTATCAAACACCCTTTTTCCTGTCACAAGATCACCACACTTGATATACATCGTGATCAAAACTGAAGAAACGTATATGTCTAAATCAAAGTGGGATCTTACCAACTGTGAATGAACCTGTCTACCATGATCAAGACTTGCCAAGCTACCACAAGCAGAAAGAACACTTATGACGGACGGGAAACTTGGCCTAACCCCTTCTCTTTGCATCAAACTAAATAAAGCAAGTGCTTCAAATTCAAATCCTTTTCTCTCATAAATCTTAATCATCGTGCTACATGTCCCGTCATCCTTCTCCCTCATTTGATCAAACACCAACCTCGCTTTCTCCACCTCCCCATCCAGCCCAAACCCCATAATCATCTCATTACAAGCAGCAACCGGTTTCACAGGCATTTCCTTAAAAAGCTCAGCAGCCTCATTAATCCTACCACTCCTCGTATACCCCGTCAACATCGCTGTCCATTTCACCTCATTCTTATCCGGCATCACTTCAAACAACTTCCTAGCCACATCCACCTTACTATTCATTGCGTACCCGCTGATCATAGAAGTCCAAGCAACCACATTCCTTTGAGGCATCTCATCAAAAATTTCTCTTGCTTCAATCAACCTTCCTTCTGAACACAATCCATCAATCATATTAGTGCTAGCAACAACATCCTTCACGGGCATCATATCAAAAAGTTGTCTAGCCTCATCGACACGGCCATCTTCAATCAAACCACCTAATATCACAGTCCAAGAAACAACATTCCTTTCCGGCATTCTCCAAAACAACAATTCAGCCTCCTCTATCAATCCCTCTTGCACGTAACCTCTAATCATCGCTGTCCACGAAACCACATTCCTCTCAGGCATTTTATCAAAAACTTTTCTCGCTTCAGAAATCATTCCATTCTGAACGTAACCAGAAACCAATCCATTCCATGAAATCGTATTTGTCTCAGGCATTTTATCAAACAGTTTCCGGGCTTCACGCGGCCGTTTGTTTTGAAAGTAACCGGCCATAATTGCATTCCAAGAAGTAACTGTTTTGTCTTGCAAATCATCAAATATCTTTCGAGCTATGCGTATTTGTCCAAGACGTGAAAATGGGAAATTTGAGATACTGCAGCAAAGGTTGAAGAATAAGTTCTATATGGAATCAAACGGGACAGCATCGAAGAGCAAGGAAGGGAAGTACCCAGATGGCAAAAATGGTTAGATTTTGATGGTGCCCAGATGCCAAAAACAGTGAAAGTCGATAAATTTGATGATTAAAATTGACAAAAAGCTTCGAAATAACATGGGGGTCCACAGGACGAAGTGATGGTTATGACTGCTGACAATTTCTTCCGACCCGACCCGCATGATCTTAATATCACCCAACTCTATAGGATCTGTTTTTTATTTGGTTTGATAAAGTCGAAACAGATTAGATAAAAAAAAAATCCGATCCAATTTCACTTACATCGAGTACAAATAAAAATCTCACCCGATTGCAAATGAGGTTTTGGTCTAGTAGTAGGAGGGGCGTGTTTCCTTTTAGTTTTTTAAAAGAAAAATATAATTATTATAAACCCTATTAAACTAAATTTTTCTAAATAAATTACATAAATTCTTCTCTTTGTTTTTTTCGTATACATAATAAATATTTTTACAATATTATGTTGCAATTCTTGTAAAAATCAATCTAGATTTTTAACTTAACTTTATAATTAAAGTTTAATTTATATTTATAAGTTCATATTAGTGTTTATAATTTTTTTATATAAAATACCATGTAAGTACATTATGTAAGTTTATATACATACATACATACATACATATATATATATATATATTTTGAATTACATGGTATAAAATCATTTAACAAATAATAATCACATAATCAAAATACACGCATAATTTCTAAACACAAAATATTTTGAATACTTCATTATATTAATCACTAAAAATTTGTTAATTTTTATAAATTACTTGTATATTTTACATTTCACGATATGATGTAATATTTTTAAGTAATATGAATAGATTATTTAGAAATGTGGTTGAATTGTATTTTAAAATATTTTTTTATTCAAATATATTAAAATATTATTTTTATTTCTTCATAATTATTTTTGAGATTAATATATTAAAACAATTTAAAATATAAAAAAATTAATTTTTAATTAAAAAAATTTAACTTGTTTGAAAATATAGGTTGGCTCGAGTTTCAAAATGTTTCTAAAATATTAGTTTTTAAATATAAAATAGAAAATTATTAGCTAGATAAATAAGATTATTAGGATGTGATTTTGCGAGGCTCTAAAAAAAAGATATTTTTTTTCCAGAAAAAGGTAAAGATAATGGGGTCAAGTCGGGTATGCAGACAAATGAGAAAAACCCTTGATGTGACCCGACCCAACTAGGTGCGGGTTGTGATGGTAATGAGTTGAGTGTAAAAAATCCGACTCTGCCTAACCCTTTGCCATCCCAAAGCAATTGCTTTCAGTGTGTACAGGGAGTTAGTTAAGATGATAAGTGACAGATATGTCGTGAAGTGAATTTGACGTGTGGGGCCAATTTTGATCGACCCAGCAGTTTAACTAGCCAAGTTTTACCGGGTTAGGCTGATTTTTGTAGGATCTCTTGTAAATTCTGGTCTTGACTATCAACTCGGACCGGTTAAATGGCCGAGTCACCAAAGTTTTTGTTCTCTTCTAGGTTAATGATATTGGTTTGAACTGTTTTGGTTGGATCATAATTAAAAAAAAATAACCCCAAAAAGCATGTTATGTGTCGGTGGGTGGTCTGCTTACTGCTTTTTTTTTCTTTTTCTTTTTTAATTTCTTGATTTTGGACCTTTCAATTAGCATTATGGATAATTTATTTTACTTAATTATTCATTAGACAAATTTGAAGAATGATAATTTCATAATACGAGTTTAATATGATGATTAACGAGACATTATCTTCCCTTATGTACTAGATTGAAAAATTGGATTTAATCTAAATGCATGAATGTTGATTAAAGAAAGAAATGCCAAGGGTTTCTCTTTTAAGATTTTATAGATAATTAAAAAAGGAAGAAAATATTGTTACAACGGAATCAAGTTTTTTCCTATTTGAACCGAAACGGGATTTGCCAAATCACAGTTCAGTAAGTTCTTTTAATAATTAAAAAAAAAAACAGTCTTGATATGCAAAATTGATTTATTGTTATCGTGAGTGTGTGTATATACATTAACAAACTCTAAAGCGCTTGACTGTAATACTAGATATATAGTTTATTGTATATTATTGTAATAAAATTATTAAAAAATTGTTCGGGGTGTTTAGGTTTTTATATTTTATTTTTTTACACAATAAAAATATGTTTCTATCTTAAAATCAACAAGTTTTAGAACTGTCAAGTTTTTTTTTTTTAACTTTCTATAAACTTCTAAACAAGTAAAAATACTTCTTTATCCAAGTTCAAAAAATTGTGGGGTTGTTGCACAAATGTTTTTTTTTCAATTATTTATGTATTTGGTGTTTGAAAAGACAAAAAAAAAAAGCTTTGTATTTAGGGGTATTTTTGTACTTTCACATGGTTTTCGGATAATTACTACGGTTATGGGGTGTTTTTGTATTTTTATATTAATTTTTAAATTTTTTTAATGAAAAAAATTATTGACGTATAGGCATTCATGTTGTTTAGATGGCGCGTGAGACACCATTTGATAGTTAAACTTGACCTTCTATTATTTTTGTAAATGCCCTTCCATATCCTCTTCCACATGGTATGATGCGTGTCATGTATGGTGGTTAAATTATAATTGATGGTCATCTTTTTATTTTTTTTCTCTTCTCCAGGTAAAGTGTATGATTGGTTTTTTTTTTTTTAATTTTCTATTTCATTTTTATGTTTTAATGTAGTCCTTCAATCATAATTTCTCATATATTTTGTTTTTAATTTTGATCTTTATTTTTAATTTTTTAATTTTTTTATCAGCTTTTTAGTTATTTTTTTTTTACTTTCAATTTCATCGTTTAATCAAAGTTTTTTTGTATTTTTTCTAATTTGACCCTTATTTTTTAATTTTTTGGTTTTATTAAAACTATTTTTCAATTCAATTTAACATTCCAATTGATTTTTTTATATACTCTCTATTTAATTTTTTTTTTATTTTCACTCTTATTTTTTTCAATTCTTTTGTGTAATGGATTCTTTTTACTTGTCTCATCTTTCTATATTTAATTTGTTGGAGATTCAGCTTAGTACAATCTTATCGTTTTGTATTATTATTTTTTTTAATATTATTTTGGTGATTATTTTTTATTTTTCAAGATATTATTTTAATTAATATATATTTTTTTTAGTTTTATATAAATGAAATTTATTTCTAAAAATAAAAAAATATTTATTTAAAAAAAATATTTATGATGTTTTGGCCTTACATAATATGTTTTTTAAGGTGTGAATTTATTCAGTTAATTTTATTTGTATTTATGTTTTAAGTTACAGGCTTTTTAGCTTTTTAGGAGTGAATTTATCTTTTATCAATTTAAATAAATAAGTTCAATAAATATAATTAGGTAAATATCTCATTTTGTGTAATTAAATATTTTAATCTATATTCATCTCTTAATTTCTCAATTTTTTTTTATTGTTAATGATTTTTTGTGTGTTTATTTACATAGATGATTATGAATTTATTTCATTAGATATTTACATATATTTTTTGATTTATATTTTAAATTTTTTATATAAAAAAAAAATGCATCAAAATAGCTTATACATTTGATAATTTTTGAAAAAAAACTTATAACCTGAAGCGCGGTTTAGATATTATGTGCGTGTGTGATTTTTTCATTAATGGTCTCAATTCATTAAAAATAAAATCTTGTGGAAAATGTGGGATTGTTTAATGTCTCAAGACAAAAAAAGGTACAAAAATAATAGAAACATGTTTAACAAGAAAAACAAATATGGATATAAAATAAATCTAGCTTGCGTATCTAACTTGATAATAGTTTTTAAATGATTTTTTATTATTTTAAAATAAAAGAATGAGAAGCCGGCTCTCCGATGTCAACATGGCAACTAAAGCTACATATGAGGATGATAAGTCATCATTGCTCATTTTCTTGCCATGGTAAACAATATCATGTCAAAAATTATGTTCACACCCACAAAATATATTTGCCTTGAAAAAAATATTTGTAATCACAGATTCCTTTTTGCTTATTCTCTGAACTGTGGGTGCTTCAACACCCTCTTAAACAACTTGTTTTCTTTATCTCATCTTTTTGCAAGCATCTTAATGATCCTGCATGTTTACCAAGGCTAGTGCTGCCCCATCCAATTTCTTTAAGAATTATGGCAGAAAATCAGCCAAAAGTACCACTGTTTTTCATTATTTTCAAGAATTGCTGTGTACTTCGCCAGGAGGATAGAGAGATTGCAGGAGAATTACTTGTGGTTCTTGGAGAAGATTCAAGATAGGAAATATATGAGAGAACAAAGCTAATCCTCCCGATTCCTTATTAGAAGGCCAATAGCCAGTTTTTCATGGTGGCATGTTTACAATTACAACCCTCTTTCGACAAAAGTGAAATCTTCTCTATCACAGGCTGCACCATACTTTTGTTTGGTGCTATTGTCCAAGGAAATAAAACTACAGAGAAAATAGCTTATATGGAGATACCATCCTTCTTGGATGCTGTTCAATTGCGGCAGAAGAAATCAAATGGAATGCTCGGTGAAGAGTGAGCCATTGACAGCACTTTGGAGGCTATGATCGAATTAGCTGCTTCAGTGTAATGGATTCCATCCCAACTTACATATCGGGATCCTTCGTCGCAGACCTGATAGCCAGGCTGACTGCATGTTACTCTTATATCATAGTTGTACGGAGGTCCTCCAGAACCGCAACATGCCATCAATGGACTCGAAAAACCTGCATTGCCAAATGATTGATCAGAGCAATACATTTAGTTCAAGAACCTGCATAACTATTATTTCATTATATGGAAACTCTAGTTATGATATGAAATTGCATGAACTAGCAGTTCAAGCATTTGATCGAGCAAGTAAACTATGGATCAATATATGCCTGCAATGTATCTTTTATAGATCAGCAAGCAAACGGTAAGGAGTTTTGGAATCCGAATACATGAGGAATAATATATGCGTGCTTCATGTCTCTTGTTGTTTCACAGTCAGCATAATATAAAAAAAACATACAGAATGTTCTTAAAAAAAGAGAGAAAAAATTCAACGCGATGCAATTAGAAGGTTTTTCTTACCATATTTGGAGGAGTTGGCAATGAGATCGTATTTGATTGAGTAGATATCTACATAGACTATAGTTGCTCCGGACAATTGAGACCCCATCCTTTCACATAATCTACGCAGTCCTTCATTGAACAATCCTGCTGCCCTGTTGTAATCTGAAATACATCCAATTGGATCTAGATCCTTCTTCTGAACTAGCGAAAGCTTTTGAGGGAGACAGCCTAGTGGTCCAGTGTTATGTATCCAAAATTTTCTGCCTCCTTGATTGTACAAAACCTATTCAATATATTCTTAGTCAAGAAACCAATACATGGGGGTGTAGTTACCAAGCTTTCTCAGATTTCTAAACTCACCTTCACAGCATTTCCAATCTCTAAAATGACGGAGGGAATCCTTTTGGTTACTTGTGCATAAGACAGTTTTTTGGAGAATGAATCAGCAATGTCATTTTGACCAATGTCAATAATGTAAAGCGCATTTCGGAGCCCTTCATCGGTGATGAAATTTCCAAAACCTAAAGGCCAATTAAATAGTGTAAGTTGCCGATTCCCTGAACACTTCATAAGCTGGAAATACATTATCTTCCATCATGATTTCATTATTACTAAAGTATCTTCGAGGTCGATATGAGCACATCAAAGGCTAGGCCTTATGCTTCTGGAAGCCTAATAACAACCATTTATATATTGATCATAGGAATCTGTAAGCTTCATGATTAGGCACGATAAAAATTCCAGGAATGACGAACCACAGACATCAGATCATACATAAAAAAGTTATTGGCAATTCAATCTTGCCGCCCATCAATTAAAATTGAAGGTCCAAAGCCAGGACTCACACAATCATTTGATCTCATTGCCTACAATGTTGAATCCCCAGTTCACCACAACCATGAAATCCCCATTAATTTCAAATGTCAAAACTATATCATATCTTGACTTTGGTAGTCATCAAAAGCTATTGAAAGCAGAAAACTAACATATAATTCTTTGACTAGTAGGAGAAAATTAAACAATACCAGCAGTGACAAGTTCAAGAGTGCGAGCTTTGAAATGAAGGAACTGCATTAGTTGAATGTTCAACGAGAAGGGTACATATTTAGGGAGAGTAGAAGACCCGACAACTGCAAAGTTGGCACCATTTGTGAACCCGGACCCCCCCAGTGAGTCCAGGTATGGGCTTAGAAAGCTAGCATTCAAGCTTTGACCTGCATTAAAAGAATAAAATACAATAAAGCTTAACACTTTGGTACATGCACCTGTTAACCTGTCAGAATGGGCAAATGGGCACTGGGAATTAGATCATTTTATGCTCTACTGATGTGCAAGTGAGATTTGAATCTTGAGACAATACTAGGTCGCTTTACCAATGTGCTTGCAAAGACAACTGTGTTATGGCTAATTAAGCTATGGTCACTCACTATACTAGGCTTTTAGAGCTTAAGCGTACATTAATTCCATATTGATTCAGGTACAAGACTTGATCTAATCATATGCTGCCATACATTATTTGTTCACATTTCACAGTCTGCGATAAGTTCATGCTATTCACATTGATTTGTTAAAAGTGAAAGGTAAATAAGACTGTAAAAGATACCAGCCAAAATAGCTGAATTCAAGGGCAAATCCAGCCAAAAAGTATAATTTCAAGACAGGTACATGCATTTCTGGGGCATTATAGTACCGTGACAACTAACATCAAGACAGGTACATGCATTTCTGGGGCATAGTACTGTGACAACTAACGAACAGAGAAATTTGTGGATGACATCAACTAGAGACAGGGAAAATTAAATCTTTGGACCCCACTTAATCAAATCAAATCTAATAACAACAGCACTACACATGATCAAAATCACGACTTGACCCCATGATCAAGGAAGGCAATTTGATATTCATACTTTGATCAATAAAAAGAAGAAGAAAGAAAAGTGGGGGGTGTGAGGCACTTACAAAGGAAGTCAATCAGGAGCCTTCCATCAGATAATCTACCAGTTGATCTATGAAAGAATGTACGGCCATTAGGGAGATTGACAGGGAAGCCAAGTCCAGCAACGAGTCCTCCAGTGTCAGAGTTGGAGTCTCCAAAGTTGAAGATAATTGGTGGATTCTTGCATTGAGAAGCAACTGAAGTGAAAAACAATGGAAGAAGAAGAAGAAAGTGTGAGAGAGGTAGAGGGAGAAGCGGACAGTGAGAGATCATAGCTAGTGAAGTAAGAAAGTAGCCCAAAGTGAAACGAAAGCGGTCTTTTAAACTCTTTGGATTCTTTACTATTTAAAGGGGGGAGATTGAGGTCACCTTTTGTTTTGTGTTGATTCTTTCTGTAATGCAAAACTATTCTTTAGTCCCTATATCTTAAAAAATACAGTATAGTCCTCAATGTTTGATAACTCTATAGATTAATCCTTTGACTCTTTGTTGACCATAACTCTATAGATTAATCCTTTGACTCTTCTTTGACTCTTTGTTGACAATCTTATTAAAATACCTTGGGTTTTCTCTAAGCCCTTATCATGTTCTTTTTCTCTGAGAACTTCGATTGTCAAAGGATGCCTTGAAATTTAGGAAAAAACCAACGAACTTTCTGATAAAACAAGGTCACGGGTCGATCAAAAGTGAGAGCTTAGTTATAGGCTATCAAGTATGAAGGACTAACTTGTAATTACGATTAACAAGGGATTGAATGGTAATTTGCTCGACAAAATGCTATCCTTATCACGATCTTATGTTCTCTCACTATGTTTTGTTTTATTACGAAAACAAAGATCGAAAATTTGAAACCATAAAAGTAGAGAAGTAGTAACATATTTTACGCAAAGTAAATTGAGAAATAACACCACAAAGCTTAAAAACACTAAAATTAATTAAAATTCAAAAATAACAGTAAAAATAACTAAAAATTCAAAAAAATATCTTTAAGCTTATTACAAGTACATCATTGATTGATTATGCATCTAACTTATCCTTTAATAAAATTGAACCTTGATACTTTCTAATAAAATTTAAATATGATTTAACAATTATATTAAAAATTATAAATTTTTTTGTTAGAACACCTTGTTCTTATACTTCGTTTTATTTATCTAATCTATAAATCCATCTACAAAATATTTTGTGTGCCAATATTAAATATGTGATTCCAAACTAAATAGACATCAATTGCTATCCTTTTAGTATAGTACATTTTCACATATGATTTAAAAGTTCAAAATCTAGTAACAATATAAAATAATGGCCAATTGTTCAATTTAGTCCTTTTTTTAGTTTTTTTTTCTAATAAAATCTGAATAGAGTGTTGGGGATTACTAAATATATAGCAGCTCGGCTCAACATGTTGTATATTATTTGTTTTGGCTTGGTCTAACCTGACTTCCATATCTCACGGTTTTTGTTTCTGACAGCCCATAGATCCCAAAACACGTATAACATATTGATAACCAGTACTACTAATAAGGTTAGCTATTATTCCCTATTAATTGATGTAAAATATTATAAATCATCCCTTTTAAGAAGTTTGACGATTTCATTGGCATAACCGGATAGCCAATAAAATTGATTGATATCAAATATAACAGCTCGGTCTAATATACTATATATATTATTTATTTTGGTTCAGCCAAACTCAATTTTCACACCTCAATTTTGTTTTTAGCATACTACAAGCACTTTAAAAAGGATTTTTTTATGAACAAATTTTCGGGCATGAGCTTTTAAAATCAATGTAAGCGCATGCACCTTCAATGATTTTATATCGCCATGCACCCACAAATATTTCTATATGGGCTTCAAGGCTTTGGAGTGAAACTATGTGGAAAAGTTTTAAATTAAACACGGAGATAGGAGGAGGGCCTAGAGATTGTAGCCCACAAGAAAAATGAATTTCTCATATACCAATGGGTGCTTGTAAGTCCCTTCAATTAGATAATGAGATACTTATTTTTTTTTTTATATGAATTTCTTCCATGACTGTTGTGAATCTATCATCACATTTTAAATCCACACCCAGTGTGTGAGGAGAGCTAAGCAGCAGTTACCAAGTCCTTGAGCCCCTGGCCCAAAATCACCGATTTCCTTGATGTTCTTCTTCCAATATCAATCAAACGTGAAAAAAGTTTTAGCCATATCATGAGCAAATGGATTTTAATGCACACATATCCAGAAATCCATACACCGACTTGGATTTTTAAAGTGTTTTTAAAGATGTATTTTTACGTGTTGATGTATAGATTTCTTTTAAATATTTTCTTAAGATTAAAATTAAAAAAAAGAGAGTAAATTTGTATACCATGCTAGTGAAGTTGTGAAAAAACTTCAGAAATAATGTGAGTTTTTTTATGACCACGTTCTAACCGTTCTGGGTTAGTGGAGTGATGATTTAAATGTAAACTTTTGTATATATGGCCTGGATTGTTCTTGAAAAACAACTTCACTGTATGAACATGAGAAATTTTGATTAGAAGGATATAATATAGTATGAAAAGAGAAAAACAAAATTAAGTTGCAGGGATTGCGTATCTAGGTATAACTTGTGTATGTGTTGGCTAGAAATTGTATAGTCTGACCTAACATGCTCTAGCTATGAATATTGCTCCTGTTTTTTTGTGGCTAGAACTTGTGTGACATATAATTTTTTTTTTTTTATGTTCGAATTAGTATCTTAATTATCTTTATATGGTGAAAGATGAGATCTAATTTTGACAAGTGACTAGATGTTGAAGGTTTTTTCATGTAGAAGGAGACTCATCATCAATGAAGAAATTAGTATGCTGTTGTAGGCTAAAATGACGACCATGTTGGTTACTGTATCATGCTATGCTATATGGTTGTGCCATACGCACAATTTATAGAAATATTGATGATGGACTCATGGATATAGAAAATACTGTTCATTTTTTATTTATGGGTAATTATATATCACATTTTAGGTTGTTATATATGAATGATGCAATGAGGACTACAAATTTCTCAATTATCATTAATTTATTCATAAATTATAAAAAAAGGGACTCTCTTGGCTTCTAAGTTATGAAGATCTCAAATACAATGAGCTAGAAATGTGTTTTTTTATATATATATATATATAGTTTTTTTACTATTGCAACTCAATTTAGTTTTATTTATAATTTTCATTATGTATAGAGTTTTGATTTGATCATTGTATGGCTTGAAGTCATGTTAATATTAACTAGAAATTAATTGAGTTTATGTTCTTGAATAACAATTGCTCCTAGCCACACCATGAGCTACCAATGTTTTTTTTATATATAGTTTTTTTAATATTGCAACTCAATTTAGTTTTATTTATGATTTTCATTATGTATAGAATTTTGATTTTATCATTGTATATTCACTAATTTATTTTTAATTAAAGCAAATTTGAATTCTAATAATTTTAGGTTTTTCATGTAATTTAATGGATATCCCCTTTATCTTCTAAGACCCTTTAAACATTATGATGAACCAAAGAAATTTTTTAGAGTAATTTTTTAGATCTTATAACTTATAAGACAAGGACAGGGGTTTAACAAGATACAAGACCAGAGTCTTGTGTTGATAAATTCAATTTTTTAACCAAAATAATTTTTTAAAATAACTAAAATAACATTGATTTAAAAAAAACTAGTTTAGTACAAAATTCAATATAAGTTATACCTCAAATTAGCAAATTACCAAAAACATGATAGAATTTGATAACTATACTTCATGTCTACTAGGAAGGGGATCGGAGTAGCCATTGATATAGGCTTACCTATGCTTAACCAAATATTCTTTGATTGATGAGTTGTAATTACAATCTTAGGGTGTATATGAAAACATTTTATCAGTTAATTTTTGATGCTTATTGAAAAAAACAATAGACAATTACAAGTAGAAAAGATAAATTTTAGATGAAAATATTTATTTTATAGGTCACAAATTTTATTTTTTCTTATTATGTCCGTTTCTTTCTTCTTCTTCTTTTTTTTTTTTTTTAAAAAATGAGCTTAACGTCAATTACGTATATAAAATCGATTATATAATATTCAATTACAAGTAGAAAAGATAAATTTTAGATGAAAATATTTATTTTATAGGTCATAAATTTTATTTTTTCTTGTTATTATGACCGTTTTTTTTTTTTAATGAGCTTAACGTCAATTAAGTATATAAACTCGATTATATAATATAAAAGTTGTCATCCTCCATAATCTCTAGGCAATGCTAATTACTGCTAAATTTTTTCCGATGTTCCGATGTTCCTACATTCCGACCCACAAAGGGGGCAGTCGGTCCCACTTGTTGTTATGCTAAAACGGCAAAGAATGCAAAATGCAATTTGGCTGCCAAAATTGAGCTGGCAAATGGCTCCAGCGCAAGACAAAACTGGAAGCCGTTATAGTTCATGCAAAAGCACAAGTGTTGCAAGAAAATCCTGAACCGTTTCTCTCTTTTTCTCATGCTCTAAGATATTTCCCCTCTCCTTATTTATTTTCTTTCACTTTCTGTTGAGATTTAACTCTCTGTACTCCAAATCTTTTGTGCTCTAGCTAGCTCTATTCTTGCATTCTCTTATATCATCGCTTCCCTGACAACCCCCCTCCCCCCCCTCTCCCTTTCTATATAAAGCACCACTAGCTAGCTAGCTTAGTAGCATTCTTGAAGGGAGTCAAGAAACTTGCAATGGATATGGCAGATGTTTTGCCATTCTTGGCTATGGCTATAGTCCAGTTTGGCTATGCAGGCATGAATATTACATCAAAGCTTGCAATGGATTCAGGCATGAAACCACTTGTTCTTGTTGGTTATAGGCAAATCTTTGCCACCATTGCAATGGTCCCCTTTGCTTATTTCTTTGAGTGGTAAGTTTTTTTAAGCTTTTTTGTTTGTTTTAACTGGTTTTTCGTGGCATTATTTCTTTTTCTTTGAACTTGGTAAGTGGGGCTGGTGTTTTGGAGGAGCGCATCTTTTGCCAATCAAATTTAGAGGACTCTCGAAATTTCTAATCTTGCATGCTATATAGAAAATTAAGCCATTACATTCCTCGATCAGTTGTTTTTTCTTTTCCCAAAAGTATGGAATTGAAGATTATATATACAGTAATTTATTTATTGTCAGTACAAATTATACAAATAAAAATCATGCTGCTGAAAAAATTTATGTTGGATTTGGAATGTTGGTATCTATGCTACTGGTACACAGGCCATGGCTTACGCATGGCTGCCGCTTGTCTATTTCTGCCATAAGGCGCCAACTACCTTTTGCCTGCCTTCACAAATGACCTTATAAATGAAAGGAGCAAGCTTCAGCTTCTTCTTTCTTTAATCATCTAAAGGTCTAACAGAGACACTATAAAGCAGCAGCTTTGCATTTAATTGCATGATCTCATGCATATACTTAGCTGCCAGTGTTCACAGTATTAATTAAGTGCTTTAGGACAGCCTAGCTATATTAAGGCTGCATGTAATTCCATTGGCTCATTCGTGGCCAATCAAATTTCAAAATTAACTCTCGAAAAAATAAAAATAAAAAATCTTGATGCAAGCAAACACATTCTTTTGAGTAGATGTTGAAATTTTCTAGTGCAGAAAAAGAAAATCAGGTGCCTATTAATTAATTTATTTTATTGATCATATCCCAATTTACTTTATTGATCATGTACCTCAATAAAAATGAAGCATTTTTATTAAATTGAAATTGCTATTAAGGAAAAAGTGTTGCGACTCTTGTCAAAGCTACGAGCTTTAGATTATTTGCATCTTATTTTTTAGTATCCATTATCGAACAATTTCCAAAGCACATGGACTGGCCGTCAATTAAGTTTTAATTCAGGACATCAACTTGGCTTAATGCTTTCTCTTGAATTGGATGGGTTAATCTAGATAATTTTTTTTTAAAAAATAAATATTTAAATTCAGGACATCAACTTGGCTTAATGCTTCCCTCATGAATTGGATGAGTTAATATAGATAATTTTTTTTTCAGAAATAATATAGGGTCAATCTAAATAATTTTTTTTAGAAAAAAATATTTAAAAATAATATATATATATATATATATATATATATATTTTAAAAAAATCAGGTTGTTCACTTACAACTAGGCTATTAACTATGAATTACATCAGTTAATCTAGATTAATTTTTTTTTAAAATAATTTAAAAACAATATATATATATATATTGGAAAAAAAATCAGGTTTTTTCACATATAAATGGGCTATTAACTATGAATTGGATGGGTTAATCTAGATTAATCTTCTTTTTTTTTTTAAAAAAATCCAGAAATAATATATATTTTTTTGAAAAAAAATTAAATTTTTTCACTTACAACGAGGTTATTAATCATGAATTGGATGGATTGATCTAGATTAATCCTCTTTTTTTAAAAAACAAAAAAATCTAGAAACAATATCAAAATATATATATATATATGGAAAAAAATCAAGTTTTTTTTCACTTAAAGCTAGGCTATTAACTATTAACTTGAGTTCATCCCAGTTGTTCCACTTCCTAGCTCCACCTTTCTCAATTCTTTAATTTTATCATCAATCTCTCTGGTATTAATGATAATCAATAAGTTAATTATGATAGGGCGCACTTTCTTGCTATTCTTATCTCGCAGTCAAAACAGTAGAACCCACCAATTGAGGCTGGCATGCAGAAATATTGAACTATCATGCTACTATTGTTGCTTGATGGAAAATCTTTGCTATGATGACCCCCTTTGCTTATTTCTTTTGAACTGTAAGTTCTTGATCAATGAAGCACGTGAAATGATTTATTGTTAAAAGAAATAAGCAAAGGGATCATTGCAAAGGTGGTCAAGTAACCTAACTTTATGAAGCTAATTATAATTAGTTTTAAACAGTTAGAAATTATTTAATTTGTCTTTTTTTTTTGGTGCAGGAGAACTAGACCCAAGATCACCATGTCTTTGCTGCTTCAGATTTTCATATGTTCTCTTACAGGGTGAGTAATTACTGCTCTCTGATAGTTCTATCTGCCAATAACATGTATTCCTGGAAATACATCTAATTTTCTAAGACATGCAGTGTAACTGGAAACCAGGTTTTTTACTTTATTGGGCTAGAAAATTCCACCCCCACAATTGGATGTGCATTGACCAACATACTCCCTGCAGTGACTTTCATTCTTGCAGTTCTTTTCAGGTACTGGGGTAGTCTCATTTTTCTGTATTTTTCTTGCAAATTAGACCACATTCGGTATGTTTCTTCTTTTGTTAATGTTTTTTTCTTCAATATTTTGCAGACAGGAATCAGTGGGAATAAAGAAGGCATCAGGGCAAGCAAAGCTTTTAGGGACAATAGTATGTGTAGGAGGAGCCATGTTGTTGTCATTCTACCATGGTCACATGATCAATATAGGTGAGTCAAGTATTCATTGGAACTATGCAGATAGTACCGGAAATAGCACCACCAACAAGAAATCGAACTTCGTCCTGGGATCCTTATGTATAATTGCTAGTGCTATTTCTTGGGCAATATGGTTCACCGTCCAAGTAAGAAATCTTAGCTTCTCGAAAGTTTTCAGATTGGTCTGGTCATGCCACTTCATGGTTTAAAAAGAGTTTAATTTCTTGATGATTTGCGCAGGCGAAAGTGAGCTTGAAGTTTCCAGCTCCTTACACATGCACCTTATTGATGTGTTTCATGGGCAGCATTGAATGTGTAGTAATCGGCATCGGTGCCAATCACAAAGTATCCGAGTGGTCATTGCGATCTCCTGGCAGGCTTATTGCAGCTCTGTATGCGGTATGTTCCCTTACAAGTTAACATAGGATTAATCAACTTGGCTAAGGAATTATGCCAACTTATTTTGGCTTTAAATTCTCATGCTTTTGAGCCAATTCTTGTACTTCTATGCCTGTTTAAATTATGGTATCTTTTTCCTTCACAATTTCAGGGAATCGTGTGTTCCGCACTAGCGTTTTCCCTCACTTCATGGAGTATTCAAAGAAAAGGAGCACTCTACGTCTCAGTCTTCAGTCCCTTGTTGCTTGTTATAGTAGCTGTTTTGAGTTGGGCATTGCTTCATGAGAAGATATATGTCGGAACGTATGCACATGCTTAACTCCACTTATTTTACACATATCATTGTTCTTGTGTGCTTAATCTTTTGTAGCAACAAGGAAGGACTAATTGATATGTGATTGATTTTTAGTGCTGTAGGGTCGATCTTGATCGTCGCTGGGCTCTACGCGGTTCTCTGGGGGAAGGATAAGGAATTGAAGGAGGAGATCGAAGAGACGAAGGTGATGAAGCTAGGCAATAAAGAGTGGAATAACCATGACCTTGAATTACAATTACATGCAATTTCAAATGGCAATAGAAATGCTGCAAGTTGAAGGATGGGATTCATGGGAACATAAGGGTAAAAAATCTGTTCGGTTTTATGTATTGAATGAGCTATCAATTACCATGTTTCTCCTGTGTATGAAGAGGCCTAAATTGACGTGATTAATGGATCGTTTGTTCCTCGATTGGTCCCTCTTCAAAATATTCGTTAACAGAAAACCGTAGATTCTCTGTCACTGTCACATCAACAACTATCACCAAGGGCCTTTTGAGCTGTACAAATGAGCTTCCCAATTACTTGCTTGTTTAACAAAAACTAAACACCAGCAGCTCTGAGATTTGATTAATCGATCAGAGTCTTGGAGGACTAGGAGCACATCCTTGTTACTGAAGCTGTTCATTAGCATGGTGTCAGTAATAAGTTCAACATCACCTTAAAAAATAAAAGTATGGCATAAATTGAACTTCACATGGAGAATGAATAAAACATTGCATCGCCAAATTTGTTGTTGACTTAAAATTAGCCAACCATATTCACTCGGGATTTGCATTTCAATATAGCCTTGAACCAAGTGCAGAGCTGTGAATGTGCGTGTTTTAAAGAGTTGGGAGAGCCTCTGATGGGAACCGGGCTGGAGAAGGCAGCAGCAGAGTCAGTGGAACAGCCCTTGCAGGAAAGGAAAAGGAGAAGAAAAATCCATGTTTAAGGGGCTTAATACGTGGCAGAAACAACCTTGAAGTCATCAACTCAACAACTAGCCAGAAGTGTATTGAACACGTTACAGGACTTTTTAAGACTATCCTTCTCTTAAGTGTCCATCAGTCTCCTCCGTGTTATTGTTGAGAAGTAAAGATACTGTGAGATTCCATCAGTCTCCCTTGCGTTAATTTTGAGAAGCAGTGCTATTGTGAGAGCCTGTCTAAGCGAGTGTTATTTTGTACACCTTCCGTACGTTAGCCTGAGAGTCGATAACACTTAGAAAAATACCAACACAGTGAGATGGAGGCTTATCTCCCTCCAGTGGATATAGGCTTAGAGATTGCCATACCACAGTAAGTTTGCTGCACAACGATATGATTAATGTCAATTTTTTCTCCAATTTAGTTTCCAATTTAATTAATTGGACTCTAAACTTTTTTATTTTGATCATTTACTTGTAAATTTAGCTAATTATATTTTTAATTTGAATTTTCTTCAACAAATTATACTTGTTTTTATATATACCAGGAAATTACTGCCGCTGACACCACGTTTTAAAGCAAAATTTCTAGACTAAAAATGTATATATAAACGAAGTTGATAGATTTTTTTCTTGTATTTTATCTTAAGTTCATCGAGTTATGAGTTTGTTAAAAAATAATATAGATTATATTTTAAAATTTTATTTAAAAATTTAATATTTTAGGTTAAAATGATTTTTTGGACTTGGTGTTAGAGCCTTAATAATAAAGTGATCACAAGTTCGAATTTTATTATTTTTATTTATTTAATAAAAATTAAATATAAAGTAAAATGAATTTGTGTAAGTTTGAAATTTAAAAAACTTTTATTGGAGAGAATATATTAAATAATAATATAAATCATATTCTAAAAACTCACCTAAAAACTTAAAATTTTAAATTAAAATAATTTCTTGATAAAATTAACTCGAGTTTTTTTACCAGATTTGATATTCTTTTCTCTCTCTTAAACTTAGAATGGCACACAGCAAGTCAAGCATCATCATTCACTTTAAGGTTTTGTTTATTTTTATATTTTAAAAATATTTTTAGATATTTTTAAATCATTTTAATATGACAATATCAAACATAATTTTTTAAAAATAAAAAATATTATTTTAATATATTTTAAATAAAAACATATTAAAAAATAACTGCAACCATTCTTTTAAATATATTCGAAATTATCTTGACAACAGTGCTGCATGAGTGCTGTATAGAAGAGAGAGAGTCGTACAGTAATTTTGCTATTATTGACAATTTCTCCATGTTATACACACACACACACACACTTTGCTGTAGTTTTCTATTCATTTTCACACCCCAGTTGTAGTTGCCACAGTACTGCTTTTCCATTTAGCTGGTTTCCATTCACGCACACTGATAGTGCATAAAAGCATGGCATTCAGTCCTTCTCACAACCAGGTAAGTTGCCTAATTACTAGTAAATGATATGATCAAATCAGTTTCCTTAAGGAATTAATCACCTTGAAATTACTGCTTGCTGGTGTTTAATAATCAAAATTGATGATCAGAAGGTGGCCTCCAAATAACTTAAACTGACTCCCACTCAGTAAGGTCTACGCAAATTGTTCAGTGAAGAGGTTACATGCCAACAAAACTAATTTCAATTAAAAAAAGCCTTCGCCACTCTTTTAAGAATTGCAAATTAAATCAGCTTCAAATGGTTCTGTCCTGTCCTACTTTCTTTCTGGAGTTTCCAAGTGACTTACATTCTAAACTGAAATGATGATCTTGACGAGACCACCAGTTTCCATAAGGAAATCACCAGGAAATTACTGCCACGTTAAAATCCCACAAATCAAAACATCAGCGTGCACCACATTTCATGCTTTAACTCAATTTCTCCGGTAGTGCTGTAAGGGGTACCCATAAAACTAAAAAAAATTATAAAATTTGGAATTTTATTGACTGATAACTATAGGTCACATGCTGCAAAAATAACTTGGATATTTTTCCCAAGCTGATTAAGCAATAAAATAAAATAAAAAGTTAATTGGTAATTAAAACTATTTTATTGACTGATTCAACAAGTCAATGGACCATTTACTCATTCCATGGGGTTTGTAGTATTCATTAAGAAAAAAAAAACATTAATCGGTAAAAAACTACAAATTAGTCTCTAATCTAATTTTGTTGATATTTGAATTCTTAACATATTTTTTGTTCTAAAACATATTGATTTCACATGTTAGTCAATTTAATTTTTATATATTTTATTTTGAAATATTTTTTTTAATTGTTTTTAATTTGATTTTTATATTAACTTTGATGCTTATTTTTTATTTTTTATTTTTTAATTGAAATTTTTTATTTATGATATCTGGTTCATATTTTGTATTGTTATTTATTTTATTTGAAATAATTTATGAAATAATATTTTTTTTAATTTCATCATTCTTCAACTTTTTATCTATCATATTTGGTTTCTATTTTTTTAAATAAACTTGAAAAAAATTTAAAAATTATTTTTGAGCTTATTTTTTAAGACATAGTCAAAACAATGGAAACTATTTCTTAACTTATTTTTTATTAAATTATCAAATATTCAAAAATAATTTATTTTTTAAAGATTTATTTTCTATAAAAACTAATTTTTCTTAAAAAAATTTCTTTCTAGTAAACAAATGGGATGAGTTTTATACAAATTGTTTAGTGAAGTCTTAAATTGTACAAAAGCAGTCGCTTTCTTATCTTCCACATATCAATTGATGCCAATAAAATAAAATAATATAACCTTAAAGTCTTGTTTTTTTTAGTGAAAATTGTACATAACTTGTATTATCATACAACTCTAAAAGAAAATGTTTTGAAATATTTTCAAATGAGGCATGGTGATGGGTTTTTTGCTACCGGAAAAACCAAAACCAAATCATTAATTGTTCAATTTTACTCGGAGTCAAAGTCACTTCCATTCACAGTTGAGAAAAAAAAATCAATTTATCAATGCATGAAGAGAGCTAAAGAGTTGTATAAATAGGACCTCTTTTGTTACCCAAAATGCATATGACAAACAACACTTAATATTCTACGTAGTGCTTCATAGAATCATCTAAGATGACGATGGAAAAAATGTGGGTTTGGATGCTGCTAACATTATTCACTTTGGTTGGAGATTGGTACGGTCGTTGTGACGGGTGTTTAGAGGAAGAGAGGATTGGTCTCTTGGAGATCAAATCTTCCATCGACCCGTATAGCTTTTACTTGGGAGATTGGATGGACAGTAAAGAGGATACGTGAGTGGGCTAGGACCAAGTGTGATAACACTACAAGGCGAGTGATTGAACTCACTCTGTGGGGTGTATGGGTTTAGAGCTTGGGGGGTTGGGTTTCTCAACGCTTCTTTGCTTCTTCCTTTTAAAGAATTGCAAAGTCTTGATCTGAGCCATAATGGAACAGGTGGTTGCCATGAGAATCAAGGTCGGTTCAATGCTTATGTTGTTATAATCATATTATTGAGTGAAATATTATACGTACTGAGATTAGATTGATAAAATGGCTGGTGTTTAGTGTTAATTATTTTACTTTGAGATTTCTCTTGCAAGCAGGCTTCGAAGTCCTATCATCAAAACTGAGGAAGCTGAATGTCCTTGACCGAAGTCATTATGAATTTAATGATGACAGCATTTTACCATGTTTGACTGGGCTTTCATCTCTCAACTCTTTGGATCTAGGATACAATTATATGTCGACACGATCAGGCAACATTTAAATTATCTAGTTTTGAACCTTTTTCTTTTCTCCTTTTTGTATAACCTTTTTTATGTGTTTATTTGTTTTCGATATACTTTTGAGAATCATCTTGCCGGTTTTGAAGTCTTGTCATTAAGATTGAAGAAATTGGAGAACCAGAACCTTGACCTAAGTTGGAATCATTACAATGATAGCATTTTTTTCATCTCTAACTAGGCTTTCATCTCTCAAGTCTTTGAATCTATCAGACAATGAGTTGACAGGATCAGCTGTCTTTTATGGTAACTGCTAAATTATCTAGATTTGAATTTTTTCATCACTTTCTCTTAGGCTAGTAATTTAAGCGGGACATCTATAAGTCAAGGTTAATCACAGTTTAGTTGCCTAAATTCCTAATTAATCATGTTGAAACCTTTTATTAAGCATATTAATATTTTTTTAAATTAGTATGAATATAAATTAATATGAATGTTTGAGTTAGCTTGCATCACCTCAAATATTAAACATATTAATATTGTACCATGTATCTTTGTATAATATATTTTATTGTTTTCTTACTTCACAGTGCCTTTCCTCAATTTGACCACCTTGAAGAATTGTATCTAGATCCCACTACTCTCCCAATAAACTTTCTCCATAATATTATACCGTTGCCTGCTCTTAAAATTTTGTCTGCTAGTGAATGTGACCTCCATGGTACTCAAGGTAAATTAACAACTCTCTACCTGCCTATAATTACATGATCAATGAAAGATGCTTTCATCATTATTTTAATTATTTCGAGATAAATTGTGCAGGTTGGTGTGAATTGAAAATTTTGGAGCAATTAGAACTCTCCAGAAATAATCTAGAGGGTTCACTCCCAAATTGTTTGGATGGATTGAAGAATATAAAGCAGCTAGATCTCTCGGGAAATAATCTGAAGGGTTTACTCCCAGATTGTTTGGGAAACTTGTCATCTCTTCAAATACTTATGTTTCCGGAAACCAATTTACTGGAAATATTGCCTCTGTTCTTTTTACCAACCTCATATCCCTTGAGTTCTTATCACTATCAAATAACCACTTTCAAGTCCCACTTTCATTCAAGGCCTCCAGTAACCACTCAAAACTCAAGTTCTTCATGTGTGACAACATCACTCTAGTAGAAGACCAAGCTGGCTTTCGGAATTTCATTCCAAAGTTCCAACTCATGTCTTTCAGCTTGTCATATAGTACATCTAAATTACTCAATACAGATGTTCCCACCTTTCTCTATAGCCAATATGACTTGAGAAACCTTGATCTCTCCAACAACAACTTCAGTAGAATGTTCCCATCATGGTTACTTGAGAACAACACAAGCTTGGAAGCATTACATTTGAGGCAGAACTCCTTTGTTGGTCCTCTGGAATTGCCAAACCATCCTAATCCGAATATGATTATCATAGATATATCAAACAACAACATACATGGTCAAGTTCCAAGAAATATGTGTTTGGTATTACCAAATTTGTCAATCTTAAGGATGGCTTTGAATGGACTGACAGGTAGCATTCCTTCTTGTTTTGGAAACATGAGCATTCTAGCACTTTTAGATTTATCTGACAATCGATTGTCTAAAGTAAAACTAGAGCAGTTGAAGAGATCATGGTATGTGGGGCTATCAAACAGCAATTTGGGTGGACATATATCTCCTTCAATTTTCAACTCATCTTTACTCAGATATCTCTACCTAGATGGCAACAAATTTACGGTGCATGTATTAGATTTCAACCTACCAATGGGATATATTTAGCTGCACTGCATATCAGCAACAATCAGTTTTCAGGCATTCTTCCAACATGGATGGGCAATTTCTCAAATCTCAAAGCAATTGATTTGTCCAGAAATCATTTTTATGATCCGCTTCCAAGAGATTTCTGCAAGCTTGACTACCTTGAATATTTGGACTTGTCTAAGAACAATTTGTCTGGCTCTCTATCATCTTGCTTCAACCCACCATCAATAAAACATGTCCATCTATCCAAAAATCAACGGAGCGGTCCATTAACAAAGGCATTTTATAACAGCTCTTCCATGGTGACAGTGGATATCGCAGACAACAACTTGATGGGTCCAATTTCAAATTGGATTGGCAATCTTTCGACATTGAGTTTTCTTTTTCTGAAAGCTAATTTTTTTGCTGGTGAGCTTCCTACTCAGTTATGCTTGTTACAACATTTACGCATCTTGGATGTTTCACGAAATCAGCTCTCTGGTCCTCTACCTCGTTGTCTGGGAAATTTTTCTTTGAAGGAAAATCTAGAGAAAGCGGGGGATACTGGTCACGAATCCTATGCGATCATGATCCTAAAGCAGATGTCAAATGAAACCGGTTTACTAGTAGGGAGGATCTGTTGGGAATACCGACCGGTGATGTACTAATATTTGCTTATAGGAGGGCCAAGCACACTGACACAATATTTAACGTGGTTCGGC